ACAATTTCAATTTTTTAATTCCAGGATTTCATGTAGATATTTGATTTTCTATAAATATATATACCTTAAAAAATATATATAATTTTGTATAAACTATCAATAATTATTCTATTTATTTGATGTCAATAATCACTGCATGTTGTTCATTTTTTCAATAAATGAGTCTATAAACTCCAATTGCTTAGAATGATATTTGCGCACATATTTAATGCAGTTCTCGTAGCTGGCCTCGTCGTTGAGGCCTTTGTAGGCCATGGCGCGATAGAGCCAAGCTCGCATATTCTTCTCATCCAGCTTATTCAACACGAAGTCGCAGTCGATGATGGCGCGCTTGAATTGCGACAGTCTATGGTAAGTTCAATAGAGATTTATATGAGATTGTCTTAGAAGATATGAATTTACTTACTTGATATAGCTCAGAGAACGATTTATGTACAATACGGGACTATCCTTAATATTCTCAAGGGCCTGACTGTACATGCGCACAGCATTCTCGTAGTTACCTTGGCGATAGTCGGCGTTACCAAGCCTAAAAAAGGAATTTCGATGTTTAAAATATTTTACATAGTGTTTTCTTTTAATATATTTTATACTTTCTAAATATCTGTGCAACTCTCTCTCGTTCCAGTCGTGCTTTGGTGCGCTCTGCCTGGTCCACCTCCACCTGTCTCATAAATGTAAAGCGATCCTTGTCCTTAATTGGGGCATTTCCCGGATTTTGCCTCACAGTGACCATGAAATTGTCATCCGTAACGCAGGACTCTTCTGGCTCAGTTGAAGGTTCCGTTCTATAAAATTAGTTTATTAAAGTTTAATTTTTAACACTCTTAGAGTTGGGTAATTTACTCAGTTGGCTTCATAATACTTCGCAGCAAATTCATAACATCGTCCACGGTTGAATCGAGTTTCAGAAAACTCTCGTCCATTTGTGGATGTTCCAGTGAATACATATTTAAACAACTTATAATTTATTTAATATTAAAGATAATTTTCGTAAATATTTGCGTTCACATTTGAATTGTTTGTTGAGAGAACAATCAGAAAAGGAGCCATGGCATGGCAACCACGGCAATCGCGCGCCATGGATACCCATTGAGTGCTTAGCAACACGCAAGTATAAATAAATATGGGTATATTTGTATATCGGAGTATATCTAAAAGTTAATTTAAATTTGACAACAATTTTAAATATAATCTACCAAGTAAAATATTTAAGATTCTTTTCTACCCAATTATTATTAATCAAGTTTGAATCTAGTTTTCAAATTACTTGTATTTAGTATTATAAATATACATGTAAATACATGTACAAATACATTACTATATTTTTCAAATACTGAAACAATAGTGAAAATCAAGAGTCTATATAAAGCTTTTTTTTCTCTTTTTCCTTTATATGAATATCTGAATTTTTGCACTAGACTAGCATTCATTATTGTGATAAATCGCGCAATAAATAAATAATTAAATTAGATGACATTCAGTAGTTTCTTGACTAATTTCGAGAGAATCGTCAGCTTTTGGGAGGTCTAACTGACAGCTTAAATGTAAGACATGCCCTTAAAGACTTGCTCGAAAGTACTAGTACTTGTATTAATATTTCATTAGATTGTCTAAAGCGATTTCGCTATATTAACCGAGATGGCGACTATCTGCGAAAGGTTTTTACCATATGCTCCGTAGCATTTAAGTGGATTGTACAATGTGTCCATATTACTTTTCATTTAATCTCAGACAATTTGTAAGATAAAGAAATGCACGCATGCCAAGCTCAGAGGATCAATTATAGACTATAAAACATAATGGCATCTAATAATAGAGCCGCAATCTGAACGCCAAGCCAAAGACCCAAACAAACTTGCAGTCATGCACTTTCATGGCAATGGAAACTGCAACTGGAACTGGCTCTGGCCTGGCTCTGGCTCTGGCTCTGGTTGTGCATGTCGGCCGACATTACCTCGTCCTGTGTGTTGGCACTTTGAGAGCTGGCGGCGGATATGTGTCTCGTGTGCACATAGCATTTAGGAGCGCAACAGCAACAGCAACAGCAATGGCGATGGCGATGGCTATGCAGATGGAGACGGAGATGGAGTTGAGGTTGAGCATGGCTCTTTCTCTTGCTCTGGCTTTGGCTTGGCTGGCAGGCCGGACATGGACATGCTTAAGCGCCAGCGACGCTCGTTGCAAAGTTCGACTGTGGCCGTTTGCTCGTTCCGTTCACGCAAGTGGCAACATGCAGGAATAAATAATTGCAGCTCAAAGCGAGCCGGTGAACTGGTTGTGGCACCATTGCGGCACATCCCTCCGTGCAACCCCTTTGGCCGCGCTAACCAGCAGACCTGCAGACCGACCAAATGGCTCACATGACGCATCGCATTTTTATACGAATTGCGTTTAGGCAAAATGCTCAAAAGTTGTTTTCCTTTTTTCTTCCCTGCATTCAGCTGCTGTTGTTGTCGTCGTGTGTGTGAGTGTATGTGTGTGTGTGTCAATATGACGAGCGTTCCGGCGTCATCAGCATAGATTGCCATTCGGCGTAATTGTTACGAATGGATTTCATGTAATTTAATTGTGGGTTTTACATCATGAAAAATATACCGGCCATTGGCTCATAAATATGCCAACTGAGACGGCACATCCTTATATATATACACATATATGTGCATATGTGTATAAAGTTATAGATATCCTTATTGGGAGGTCAACAACTGTGTGCATCCCATTGTGGCATGCAGCAAAAAGTAGCTGCTGAATGTGACTTGACAAGAATGATTTATTAGAATCAACGCCTTTCATTCTGATGACACTTGAATATTATTATACAATTATTATTATATTTTTATGTTAATTAAAGTTGAAGATGTGGTGCATGAATTGATAAAAGTTGAGTAAAACTGCCTATTATGCTAAACACCTTTAAGAATTTTTAGTTAAATTAATTTATTCAATACATAACAAGTAAGAAGGCTCCAGTCGAGACTGCTCGACTAGGAGATACCCTGAACCCTCCAAACTGATATTCTAATCATTCTGGACTTCTTTTATGCACACATACATACACATGCACGTATAAGCACGCGCTTTGCAAACTGCGCAGCTAGCAGCGGCTGCGCTTGGGCTGCACTGCAGTGTGGGCAATATAACGAGAATTTATTTGTTGAATAATTTCTTTTGTAGACATACGATCTTAATGAAACTTTTAGAGCGTAATCATATGGCTTAAATGTGTGTACATTTCAAAGCACAAGTCTCTAGTACTTGAAATGCGTTTTTTACAAATTGGGGGCGAAGGGGGCGTGGTATCCAAAATCTGTAAATTACAAAATCTTTGTATCCATTAACTTTATATACAACGCAAATTTGAAGTCTCCAGGTCTAAAAGTGTTCAAAATAAGCTGAAAAAACATTGTCGATTTTTCGATTATTCTCGATAAAAAAGTTATCGGATGAGTTATCGAAAAAATAAAGCAAACTTGTACTGCCTATGGTATACNTATATACTAAAATATAATATATACATCTAATATAATTTAATACCAAATAATTTTAGGGAAAAGGCATTTTACTTAATTTTAATAAATATAAATATACACTAAATAAATAAAAATGAAAACTCAGCTGCTGCTTGTTTTACCTAAAACAGTTCAAGGTTCGATTCACACTATCTATCAAACCGATTTGTTTCAAGCTCTACTTGTAGCCTTGGTTATGAGTGCACAAAGCAATCAACTTTGTAGTCGGAGAGCCTCAACATTTCAATCATAAATATTCAAATGTTACAATCGTTTAAATTTACATTATATTTAAATATATTATCTATAGGGCCTCTGCAATCAGTTGCTATTTGGTATATAGAAGCGCGTGCGTATTTTGAGGAAATAATCAAATATTCAAATTTTGTCGCACATTGTTTTAGCCCCCCGAGCAAAGTCCGAAATGCGAGCAGCAACAGATGCTGGCAACAGCCTCACGACTTTGGCCCATGATTCAAGCTATGTTGGGTACAACAAAGAATATTACCGTTGTATTGCGCACAGGATGTGCGGATGCGGTGTGTGGCAGCGACAATCCTGTGCAGAAGGACCAAAGGTGCGCAATTGGCATTCAAATGTTAAAGTGATTTTTTTCACTCGCAATTCCTGCCGTGGAATACAGAGCAACAGCAGTTGAGCCCACTTGATTCTTCTTCGCACAGAGACATATGGAAAGGCCTTGCCCACTATTTTTCACGGCGTGGCAAGCAGGGCAGAGGCTGAGTCTGTAGCTGAGGCTGAGGCTAACCATGCAACTTGGGTCTGCCTACACACTCGCATCCCCTGCCATTCGCCATTCGCTTCCATTGCCATGTGCAAATTTTGTGAGCTGAAAAAACTTTCATATATTTTTGTTTTTTTGGTTAACTGGGAGCGGGGCATACATTTGGCCTGTTTATACGACAGGTGTTGCCATATTGGCAGCGTTGAGGGACTAACACGTCTGTGAAATGTCATAACGTTTAAACGTGCCAAAAATACTGAAAGCAGCCGAATAGCGTAACAAATGCTAAAAGCAGAGAGTGGGCTCAGTGAACTAGGAGCAAGTTAAATCCCATTTCAAATTTGAGGTACATGCTGAAATTACCTGAATGAATTATTATTTTATAGAGATACGATATTAAAGTATTGCCCACGTGGCAAACAAAACGAATTCATTTAGCAGCTCAAATCTAGATTTTCTGTCTAGAGTTTCGGTTAGCTTTGATCATTAATAACTTAAGAATATCTTAATGAATTCAAGGTGTTAATGAATCTATAAATCATCAAATTATAAGTATGTAGATAAATATAAATATTATCAGCGGTATATACAATGTGACTTAAACCTAAATCATATTTAGAATATGCAAATACAAAACTTGAATGAAAAATGTTTTGTGGCTGTGTGTCTCAACCATACGATTTTTATGTTATGTCATGTTTTATATTTATTCAAGTCAATTGATTTAAATTCAATTTATTGCATGAAGCAAAGTTCTCTTGAAACAACAACTACAATTAATTTATAATAAAATAGAATGTAATTAGGAATATGAAAGTTATAATTATGTCGAAACTATTAAGAAGACTTTGTCTGGATTTAAATAAATTAAATAAATATATGAATGTAATAAATATACGCAAAAATTTGGGATATATGTATGTATATATGTCTATAAAAACAGGGTATTATTAGTTAAATCTTTAGATCAAGAGAGCTCCATTGAAGCCTTGCAGTTTATTGACTCAATTTACAACAACAACAAATTTATATAGATAGAGATCAACAAAAATGTTATAGATTCATATATTGACACTTTTTCAAGCATATACAAAAATTTTACAATTATAATAATAGCTCAGAGAGTTTTTTTTTTAGGTTAATGATTACAGTCAATTAAAAATAAATAATATTTAGGTTTTGATTATATTATATATAATTTTGTTTTAAGTTTACATTAAAAACAAAACAAGGAAAATATTATATATATGCTAATGGTAAACTTTTTAGCTCACTATAAAATTCTGTTGGCAGAAAATTCCTACACAAATATTTCCACTCTTTCGCTTGCAATTTCAATTAATTTATGAGGCAGCGGCGAATCGTGGTTAGCCAAGAGCCCGTTTAATTAGCACACAAAATACATTTTCTAGCTTTGTGGCTGTTTGGCGAAGTGTTTAAGAAATAATTGGCAAGAGCCACGAAAGCCGCAAATTCAAAATTCAGAGCTGAAAACGCGCGCTGCGATTAGCCATAAAAATTATAGATTCAATCTAATTAGAAATTGTCGCGGCTGCTCTGGCGGGCCTTGCACTAGCTACAGCTACAGCTGAAGCTACAGCTCCAATTGCAGAAGCCGAGTGAATATTTAATTTAATTAACAAGAAACCATTTGGTACTGAAGGGATGGGGGCGTGGCAGGGCTGTTCGAGTC